TTCCCAGTCTTTGCAAGCTCAAACAAGTGCTGGGAAGAGACTGAGGATCTGTGAAATGGCAGGAAACTACAGCAGGCTATGCCTATATATCATTTCACTCTCGTGGACTCAGCACAGTGCTTGACGCGTGGTAAATTCAAGTTTAGCTTTTTGGAACTTTTTTTCCAAATATTTTTGATCTGCAGTTGGTTAAATCCATGGATGTAGAATACACGACATGGAGGGCCAACTGCATAGCTTTGCTAAGTACATACAGTGAATATGGCTAAGAATACTGTATTTTTATACAAATAACACGTGCCTTTTATGTTTGTTTGCCACCTGTGCCCCTCCCCACACAAGCTATTTTCATAAGGCTACTATGCCAATGTTGTTTTACATGTTGCCGTAAAAAAAAAATATTAGCATAGCGTGCTTATGAAAATACCTCATGGGGGGAGGGTGCAGTTGGCAAACAAATGTAGAAGACACATGTTATTTGTGTGAAAATACAGCATACAGCTAAATATATATGGCTGTCTGGACCCAAGAAGAAAGGAGCAGAGGGAAGAGGAAGGAAAGAGAGAGGGAGACGAGCCCGGTGCAGATGCGGGTCAAGTCACTGGCAGTCAATGAACCTCGACAAGTCAGGCTGAGTGGTTGGGCTGAGTGGCTGAGTGGCTGAGTGGCTGAGTGGCTGCCACGCTTGGAAGAACCTCCACAGCCTACTCAAGGTGCGCAGTGAGCAGCTGCTCTTCCAAATCAGGTCAGTGCGGCCAGGATACGGGACAGCTTAGGAAAGGGCATGAAGTGGGGGGTCGGGGTCAAAGAAGAAGATCAGAAAGGTGCCCTGGAAAAGCCATTCAACTGGGGAGACTGGAGAGGGAGACAGAGGCTGAGGAAGTGAATATACTTTGCTAAGTAATATGGTGTTCGCACAACGCCCAAATTACATTTCACAGAATGTATTGTGGACATTAAGCAATGCATGACTGTATATAAAATAAGGCAGGTGCTTTTTTTCCCCTTTCTCTACTTTAGTCTTTCCCCAGCCATATCTTTTTCTTGTCCTAAGTAGTTATAATTTCAATGAACGGAGGCTTGTACTTAGTTTTGCATTTTAAAGGTACTATCTTAGGCTGGATTCTCTAGAGGAGCAAAACCAATGAAGTGTATATATAAATATACAGAGAGAGATTTATGTCAAGGAAATGGCTCACGTAGTTATGGAGACTGGAAAGTCCCAAATCCGTGGGTCAGGCTGGAGGCTTCTCCTGACTCACATGGTTGTAGGGGCTGATGAACCCAAAATTGGCAAGTCAGGCAGTAGGCTGCTGGCTCATGAGGTTGCGGGAGCCAGCAAATCCCAAAATCTACAGATCAGGCAGCAGGCTGCTGGCTCATCTCCCAAGAACCAGAGGTCAGAGGATGATGAGTTGGATGCATGATCAAAAGAGGGCGAGCTTTGCCAGAAAATCCATGTATATATTAGATGCAGGCCTCACCCCCAAGGATATTCCCCTTTCAACTGATTGTCTGCTCACATCAGATTACAAAATGGAGGATGATTACATAATATCTGCCAAATCACTGAGAACCATGGCCTAGCCAAGTTGACATGTAATCTTAATCATCACAGGTACATATGTGAAACAAGTTAAATTTCTTTTTTTTTAAAAAAAGGCCTTTTTACTTTGAAAAATCTCCGTATTTTACTCTGACAGTGAGTCAGTGTGTCTAAAAGAAAGGTTTCCCAATCATTGTTCAGACTGCTCTCCTTATCTGGAACAGAATCTCTGTTCAGGTTATCAAGCTCATCTCTCTTTCATTCTTGAAAGTCCTATTCAAAATACACATCTCGGAGGTCACTGATGACATTTCCCACTATTTATGTACTGCTGTTTCTGATTAGGAGGCCTGGTGGTGCAGTAGTTAAGAGCTCGGCTGCTAATCAGAAGGTCAGCAGTTCACATCAACCAGCCGCTCCTTGGAACACTATGAGGCAGTTCTACTCTGTCCTATAGGGTCGCTATGAGTCACAACTGACTCGACGGCAATGGGTTTCTGATTACATTCCCCTTGAAAGTATGTCCTCTCTTGCTTCTGTAATATTATACTACCCTCATTCTTTTTCTGCTTATCTGGCTGCTACTCCTCTTTTTCTTTTGCCAACTGGTCTATCTTTCTAAATGGGGCCATTCTCCAAGGTTTGGTGACCTAAATGTTCACTCTCCAGCCTCTCCCTCATTTATTCTCTCAGTATCATATACTACCTCTGTGTTGATAGCTATCAAATATCAAATATCCCTCACCAATTCTATTCTCTCACCACAGCTCTGGTTACACAACTTCAGCATTTACTGGATCATTTCTAAATGGATGCCCACTGTAACTTCAAATTTAATAATTCAAAAATTACTACTTGTCATTATTCTTCCTGAATGGGCTCTACCTTCCAATTTCTATTTCACTCAATGGTATGAATGAAGATCCCAATCTTCCTGGCTAGAAAGATTAGAATCCCCACGGCTCATCACCTTTGTGTCAGAATAGACTAATGGGATGTAGAGTGGCTTTGCATCAGACAGACTTAAAGTTAATCCCAGGGCTACCACTGTTTATTATGTGATCTTGGATTAGTTACTTACTCTCTAAGCCTAGATCTGCATCTAATATGGGATTAATAACACCTATCTCATAGGGTTATGAGGGTCAAATAACCCACAATGCACATGGGACATAGTGGGCCAGCAACGGCCCCTGTCGTAACCAGCTGGTTATTAATTTTTGTCACTCTTCCTCTGAAGGCCTCTCACATGTATCCCTATTCCCAATTCTAACTTTTAGTCGCGTCTGGATTACTCTGATAACCTCTTTGCATCTGCCTTTAATCTAGCCTCTGTAATCCACCCTTCATACTGTTGTCAAATAATCTTCTTAAAAACATTTTTTTATCATACTGTACTCCTATTAATAAAATCAACAGCTCTTTGCTGTTGTTGGGTGCCATTGAGTAGATTCCGACTCATAGCTACCTTATGTGACAGAGCAGAATTACCCCATAGGGTTTCCTAGGCTGTAAACCCTTACGGGAGCAGATTGCCAGGTCTTTTCTCACATAGAGTGGCTAGTGGATTTCAACCACCACCCTTTCAGTTACCTTCTGTCATGGATTGAATTGTGTCCCCCAAAAAATGTGTGTAGCAACTTGGCTAGGTCATGATTCCCAGTATTAAGATAATTGTGTTATCTAATGTGATTTCCTTATGCGTTGTAAACTCTACCACTATGATGAGATCATATGTGATCTCCTCATGTGTTATAACTTCTATCACTGTGATGAGGTTATACTGATGAGGTTGAATGCAATCTCTTTTGAGATATAAAAGAGAGAAGCGAGCAGAGACACATGGGAACCTCATACCACCAAGAAAGCAGTGCTGGCAGCAGAGCGCGTCCTTTGGACCTGAGATTCTTGTGCAGAGAAGCCCCCAGACCAAAGGAAGACTGATGACATGGACTTTCCTCCAGAGCCAACAGAGAGAGAAAGCCTTTTCCTGGAGCTGATGCCCTGATTTTGGATTGTAGCCTACTGGACTGTTAGAGAATAAACTTCTTTTTGCTAAATCCATCCACTAGTGGTAGTTCTGTTAGAGCAGCACTAGATGACTGAAACAGCTTCGAAGCGCTTAACCACCGTGCAACAGGAGCTACTTCAGCAGCTTATTTCCTATCAATCAAGGCTTGTTTAGCTTTCAAGACTGTTCAAAATCCACCCACTAAAATCTACTCTCTATTACTTCCCATCACAAACATATAAGATTCTGACTTACAGTGACCTTATAGCAACTCCACAGGACAGAGCAGAACTGTCCCATAGGGTTTCCTAGGCTATAAATCTTTAAGGAAGCAGACTGCCAAATCTTTCTCCCATGGAGCAGCTGGTGGGTTCCAACCACTGACCTTTCGGTTAGCAGCCGAGTGCTTTAACCACTGTGCCACCAGAGCTCCTTATCACGAAAATACTGTGGGTGAATCAGCCTCCTCATTGTCCTACACACACACACATACACACACACACCAAGCTCTTTCCCACCACTATGCTCAGCTCAGGTTGTTCCTTCCCTCTGCTCTTACTGACAGTTCTCCTCCCTGACCACTGGCTGTATCTAGAACCTGTACCAAATACAACTTATTTATGGCCTATACTGGTTTTTATCTCCTTCCATTGTTTAATTTATGTGAATTCTCTTTCCCTACTTTGATATTTTGTAACTTTATTATTGGGGCCCTGGTAGCGCGGTGGTTAACAGCTCGGCTGCTAACCAAAAGGTTCGCAGTTCGAATCCACCAGTCACTCCTTGGAAACCTTAGGAGACAGTTCTACTCTGTCCTATAGGGTTGCAATGAGTTGGAATCAACTCAACGGCAATGAGTAATTTATTACTGATGACCCCTCTGGCTACTACAGTGTATCACACGATATAACAAGCACATAAAACTTACAGATGGATTTAAAAAATGGGAAAAAAAAAGAGAATTACAGCCAGATATTCTGATTTAACATACTTGAGTACAGGTAGTCCCTGACTTACAACGCATTCAAGTTATGATGAACCCCACTTACGACCATCTGTTGCATTTTTTTTTTTTTTTTTACATCTTAGCATTAGTAATTGTATCATATAACTGATGAAGTTCTTTAAAGCAAAAACCTTAGTATTTCTTCACTCTGAATAGTAGAGAGCAATGATTTTCAAGGCAAGGTATATAGCTATTCTCCACAGGGGGATTTTTCTCGAGTTCTGATACCCCTTCTAGTGGGGATGCTTCCTCCTTCCCACCCTCTTCTCCCAGTTAAGAGCCCTACTTTATTAAGCCGCTGTGACTGATGAGCCTATGTGAGTGTTTAACAGACACAGATGAAATGTTTTTAAAAATGCGACAACATGGTTTTAGTCAAGATCAGAAGTAAAATAATTTTCAGCATCTTCTATTGATAACATACTCAATACACCTACCATAATCAGCTGGTGTATAATTCAGGAGTTCCAAGTTCCAGTGTTTATAGCATGAATAACTCTGGTACATGTCAAATATTTCCCGGGTAAATTGTTGGCAAATATCACCTAAAAGGAAATACAAAGAACATTCAGTCAACACAGGAAGTTTTTAACAGAGCCATCCGTAGGTGAAGGCCCTCTGGCTGAAGACTAACTATTATCAAAGTTAAACACGCTGAAAGGATGCTTAAAGTTATAGTGATGTCACATCATGGTAAAATTTAAGTACTTTTAAAGTCATTGAAAAAATTATTTTACCCTGAGATAATCTTTAAACCTTAAACCAAAAATATCCCCAGAAGTCTTCTTAAAACCAAATAATAGTTTAGCTTAACTAGAAAAAAATGTGTGCCTTAAACATTATGATCTTTTAAGAACTATCTATATGGGATCAAAGTGACAACAGCAACTTGAAAGATTAGATAGGAACCTTAGGGGACAGTAAGTTTATGTTAATAAGGGAGGAACAACTCAGAAACGGAGGGTGAGAATGGCTGCACAACTCGAAGAATGTAATCAATGTCACTGAATGGTACATGTAGAAAATGTTGAATTGGTGTTTATGTTTTGCTGTGTATATTCTCAGCAACAACAGAATAAATAAAATTAAAAAAAAAAATAGACAGCAACCATTAAAAATAAAAGTTAATTGAATAAAAAATATATATATTTTACTGACCTCCAGTAGTTCTTCCAGATGTTACCTCTAAAATCACATCATTTTTATCATATTTATCCTTTGGCACTAGACTTTGGAAAAGCTGAAAAGAAAAAAAAGAAAATCAGCATTGGTGTGTATATTTTCCTTGGTATACGATTTTTTAGGAGGCTCGATGGCACATGGTTAAAGCGCTTGGCTGCTAACCAAAACGTCAGCGGTTTGAACCTACCAGCTGTTCCGTGGGAGAAAGATGCGGCAGTCTATTTTCATAAAGATTTACAGGCTTTGAAACCCTATGGGGCAGTCCTACTCTGTCCGACAGGGTTGCTATGAGTCAGAATCAACTTGACGGCAATGAGTTAGATTTTTTGGTGGTACTATTTATTACTTGAAGTTACATAAAAGATCCCAAAACATTAAGAAATCAGTAATTAACAAAATGATATAACATCTCAATGAGGTCCAGTCCTAAAATGCTATAATAAGTACGATATTAGACCTAAAATAAATGCTAGATTCATGTTAACAACGAAGTTACTGTCAGGATATTTTCGTCAGTGCTCTCATATTATCTCAATTTTCTTAAATGCAGAAGTTTAGATCAAAGTACAAAGTGTTCCATTAGATTTTCTTCAGACTTTGCTGCTAATAATTACTTCTGAACACTAGCTTCTTTCATCTAAATAAAGCTTTGAATGTCTTCATTTGGGGAAAACAGACTTTGAGTAATATGATTGTTTATTCACTCCTGCCATAAACGTCAGCAGACACCATGCCATGCCTTGCCTTTTCCACAGAGTCACTCTTTTAAGAGTATGTTGAAGACGCCTAAGATAAGGCTCAAATAGAGTTTCTCAGGAAAAAAAAAACAGTTTCCTAGTAAAGAAAATAACTAACTTTCCTCTTAGGAAGAAAAAGGAATTTATTATTATTAAAAGGTCTTTTAAATCAAACTAAAAGCACCTAAATGTCCTGTCTCTCCCTAAAACTGAAAAAAACCAAACCGGTTGCCGTCAAGTTGATTCCAACTCATGGTGAACCCATATGTGGCAGAGTAGAACTTGCTCCATAGGGTTCTCAATGCCTGATTTTTCATATTGCCAGGTCTTTCTCCCGAGTCACCTCTGGACTCAAACCCTAACCTTTCATTTAGCAGCCGGGCACTTAACCATTTGTGTCACCAAGGGACTCCCTGCCTCTCTCTTCTGCCTTTGTTATTATTTTTTTAAATATTCTATCTCTGCTGGAAATTATACAGCCTGTGGGAGAGAATATACTAGACTAAGAGTCAGACATCCTGCTTCTGCCTTTGATGAGCTGGTCAGATCAGTGATAAAAATAACTGACACCTCCATCTCACCACCACTAGCCACTCAAAAACCCCTTCCTGGACTTCCTGAGTAGGGGAGACTGAAGACAGGAGGATGACAAGCTGGTATACAGCACCATGTTCTTCACTGACTCTGTAGACAACCCATACTTTGAACTAGAAGGAAGAGAAACCACCATCAAAAGAAAAATTTCCCATTTACTTATCTAGGAGATATCAAAACTGAATTTTCTGTTTCAGCATAGCTGGTCATACTAAAAAAAAACAAAAATCAAACTCGTTGCCATGGAGTCAATTCTGACTCCTAGTGACCCTACAAGACAGAGTAGAACCGCCTTACTGGGTTTCCAAAGAGTGGCTGCTGGATTCGAATTGTCGACCTTTTGGTTAGCAGTCGAGCTCTTAACCACTGTGCCACCAGGGCTCCACTGGTCATACTAGCTGACACTAATAAAGTATTATGAGCCTTGAAAGACCCTAGTATGCCAGAACCTTACTTGTTGTTAGGTGCTGTGGAGTCGATTCCAACCCATAGTGGCCTCATGTGACACAGCAGAACTTTCTCATACGGTTTTCTTGGCTGTAATCATTATGGGAGACAGGTTTTTCTCCCGCTGAGCAGCTGGGTGGGTTCAGACCCTTATTAGAACTAGCTAAAAACTTGCGTTAACCAACTATGCCTATACCTATGAATTCGTTCCATCCTATCCAGAGTGCAAATTTTCAATCTTAACACAACCATCATGAACTACCCCTTTCTAGAACTTAAAAATCCCTGATTCTTCCTCCAGGTTGAACTAAACTTCTTCACTGGTATGTGTTTCCTTACCTGGCAAGTTAACAGACTCAGTTTTGCAATATTTTTTAGCTCTAGGGGTGTTTATTTTATTCTTTGACATCACCATCTCTTCCATCTCATTCTGCAGCAAATTACAGCACTGAGTTCAGCTTAACCACTTATTACAAAAAAAAAATCAGTTGCCGTCAAGTAGATTCCATCATGGTGACACCACGTGTGTCAGAGTACAACTGTGCTCCAAAGGGTTTTCATGGCTGTGACCTTCTGGAAGCAGATGATCAAGCCTTTCTTTCAAATTGCCTCTGGGAGGGCTCAAACTGCCAACCTTTCAATTAATAGCCACAAAGACTTAATAAGCTGGTGTCTGGAAAGTATTTTGAGCACCAAAGTACTGTTCAGCAAGAACAACAGTCACTCATTACAAGAGAAGACTTAATAAGCTAGTGTTTGGAAAGTACTTTGAGCACCAAAGCATCGTCTAACCAGAACAGTATCCCTTTATATTAACACTGTTGAGCTTAGCCTACCTCCTAAAACATACCTCATTGTATAACATGTTGATTTTTTGATCAATAGTTTGCTTTTCTTCTAACACAAGTTCTTGTAACTGCTTTTCATCTTGTTTATTTAGGCCTGAAAACCAAAAACAGAAATAATGGTAGAAGTTTTAAAGTACTGAGAAATTCTCAAATAGCCACCTCATCTTTGCCTGCTAAATTTTGTTTCAGTTGTAAAGGCAAGGGATTATGCAAAAAGAACAGTTAGAATAGTTGGAGAATGTTGATTAACAAGTATTTACTAAGCATATCCAAAAAACTCAATGTTTAAAATAACATGCTCTTGCCCCAAGAAGCTGGTGATTTGAATATCTATAAAAATATCTATATATTATTTTGTATATTTATGTAATAAATATATTATTATGTAATTATATATTATTATAAGGCAAAAAAAAAGAGACAAAAATGGATGTCAGAAGAGACTCTGAAACTCGTCCTTGAACAGAGAGTGGCTAAAGCGAAAGGAACACAACTGGACCAAAGCAAAAGCAAAGAAGTTTCCCAGACACATATAAACACTTTGAGGGACAGAGTAGCTGCGACTGGAGTCTGGGGACCATATTTACAGGGGAGATCTAGGTCAAAAAAATTAATTAAAGTGAAAGGAAGAAATGATGAAGTAAAAGAGCTGAACAGACAATTTCAAAGAGTGGCTTCAGAAGACAAAGTATTATAATGAAATGTACAAAGACCTGGAGTTAGAAAACCGAAAGGGAAGAATACGCCTAGTATTTCTGAAGCTGAAAGAACTGAAGAAAAAATTCGCACCTCGAGTTGCAATACTGAAGGATTTTATGGGCAAAGTACTGTACAACGCAGGAAGCATCAAAAGAAAACGGAAGGACCTCCTAAAAATTAAACACTTATGCTCAACAAAAGACTTCTTCAAAAGAGTCAAAAGAGAACCTACAGACTGGGAAAAAATTTTGGCTATGACATATCTGACAAAGGACTAATCTCTAAAATTTATAGAAAACTTCAACATTTGAACAATAAAAAGACAAACAATCCAATTTAAAAATGGGCAAAGGATATGTTAAGACACTTCACCAAAGAAGACATTCAAGTGGCTAACATGAAAAAATGCTTATGATCATTGGCTATTAGATGCAAATCAAAACTACATGAGAAAATCACCAACTTCATATGGAAAGGTAAGAGTCCCCAGAGAAGTAAAGCATTACTCAAGAAGAAGAACAAAGTGGGAGGCTTCACACTACCTGATTTTAGAACCTATTATACTGCCACGGTAGTCAAAACAGCCTGGTACTGGTACAACAACAGATACATAGACCAATGGAACAGAATGGAGAATTCAGACGTAAATTCATCCACCTATGAGCAGCTGATATTTGACAAAGGCCCAAAAATCCGTTAATTGGGGAAAAGACTGTCTCTCCAACAAACGGTGATGGCACAACTGGATATCCATCCGCAAAAAACCGAAACAAGACTCATAGCTCCCACCATGCACAAAAACTAATACAGAATAGATCAAAGACATAAATATAAAATCAAAAGTGATAAAGATCATGGAAGAAAAAAATAGGGACAATGTTAGGAGCCCTAATACATGGCATAAACAGAATACGAATGATAAGTAACAATGCACAAATACCAGAAGAGAAACTAGATAACTGGGAGCTCCTAAAAATCAAACACTTATGCTCATCAAAAGACTTCACCAAAAGAGTAAAAAGACAACCTACAGACTGGGAAAAAAATTTTGGCTACAACAAATCCAGTCAGCGTCTAATGTCTAAAATCCACAAGATACTGCAAAATCTCAACAACAAAAAGACAAACAACCTAATTAAAAAACGGGCAAAGGATATGAACAGGCACTTCGTGAAAGAAGACATTTAGGCAGCTAAGAGACACATGAGGAAATGCTCACAATCATTAGCCATTAGAGAAATGCAAATCAAAACTACAATGAGATATCATCTCACCCCAACATGGCTACCATTAATCCAAGAAACACAAAATAATAAATGCTGGAGAGGTTCTGGAAAGACTGGAACACTTATACACTGTTGGTGGGAATGTAAAATGGTACAACCACTTTGGAAATCAATTTCACACTTCCTTAAAAAGCTAGAAATAGAAGTACCATACTATCCAGCAATCCCACTCCTTGGAATATATCCTAGAGAAATAAGAGCAATCACACGAATAAATATATGCAGACCCATGCTCATTGCAGCACTGTTCACAATAGCAAAAAAATGGAAACAACCTAGGTGCCCATCAACCGATGAATGGATAAACAAATTATGGTATATTCACACAATGGAATACTGTGCAACAATAAAGAACAATGATGAATCTGTGAAACAGCTCATAACATGGATGAATCTGGAAGGTATTATGCTGAGTGAAATTAGTCGCAAAAGGACAAACATCGTGTAAGACCACTATTATAAGAACTCAAGAAAAGGTTTAAACACGGAAGAAAACATTCTTTGATGGTTACGAGGGTTGGGAGGGAGGGTGGGGTTATTCACTGACTAGATAGTAGACAAGAACTATCTTAGGTGAAGGGAAGAACAACACACACTACAGGGAAGTCAGCACAACTGGACTAAACGAAAGCTAAGAAGTTTCCTGAATACAACCAAAAACCTTGAGGGACAGAGTAACTGGGGTAGGGGTCTGGGGACCATGGTTTCAGGGAACATCTAGGTCAATTGGCATAACAAAGTTTATTAAGAAAATGTTTTGCATCCCACTTTGGTGAGTGGTGTCTGGGGTCTTAAAAGCTAGCAAGCAGCCATCTAACATGCATTAATTTGGTCCCAACCCAACTGGAGCAAAGAAGAATGAAGAACACCAAAGACACAAGGAAAAGTATCAGCCCCAGAGACAGAAAGGGCCACATAAACCAGAGACTTCATCAGCCTGAGACCAGAAGAACTAGATGGTTCCTGGCTACCAATAATGACCACCGTGACAGGGAACACAACAGAGAGTCCCTGACGGAGCAGGAGAAAAGTGGGGCGCAGAACAAAAATTCTAGTAAAAAGACCAGACTTAACGATTTCATTGAGACCGGAGGGACCCTGGAAGACATGGCCCCCAGACTCTCTGTTAGCCCAAAACTAAAACCATTCCCGAGGCCAACTCTTCAGACAAAGATTAGACTGGACTATGGGACATAAAATGATATTCGTGAAGAGTGTGCTTCTTAGTTCAAGTAGATACATGAGACTAAATGGGCAGCACCGGTCCAGAGGCGAGATGAGAAGGCAGAGAGGGTCAGGAGTTGGTTGAATGGACACAGGAAATCCGGGGTGGAAAGGAGGAGTGTGCTGTCACAGTATACGGATAGCATCTAGGGTCACGTAACAATGTATGTATAAATTTTTGTATTAGAGACTAACCTGAATTGTAAACTTTCACTTAAAGCACAACAACTAAAAAACAAACAAACAACAAAAAAAAAAAACTATATGAGATGCCATCTCATCCTGACCTTACTGGCATTAATAAAAAAAAGAAAACAGAAACTAACAAACGTTGGTGAGGTTGGGGAGACTGGAACTCTTATATGCTATTGGTGGGAATGCAAAATGCTACAACTACTTTGAAAAACGGTATGGTGCTTCCTCAAAAAGCTAGAAATAGAAATACCATATGATCCGGCATTTCTACCCCTAGGTATATACCCATAAGAAATTTAAGAGCTGTGACACGAATAGACATATGCACACCCATGTTCACTGCAGCATTATTTACAATAGCGAAAAGATGGAAACACCTAAGTGCCCGTCGACAGATAAATAGATTAATAAACTGTAGTACATACATACAATGAAATACTACGCAATGATAAAGAATGACAAATCCACGAAACATCTCACAACATGGATTAATTTGGAGAATATTATGCTGAGTGAAATGAGTCAATCATAAAAGGGCAAATATTGTATGAGACCACTATTATAAAGTAACAACAAAAGGTTTATACACAGGAGAAAAATAAATTGATGGGAGGGAGAGGGAAGGAAAATTACCAAACAGATAAAAGACACAAGGTAATATTGGTGAAGGGAAAGACAATATATAATATGGGGGAAGTAAGCACAACATGACCAAGGCAAGAGACGACACTGAGAGAAATACAAGAATAAAGAACATCTATAGTACCTACTACACCTTAGACGATCCTGCAGCAACAGCATTAACAATAATTTACAAATGGACAAATAGGTAGATACTCCAAGAGTTGTTGGAGGATGTAAGGAAACATTCACTGACAGACTGATGTTTGGTGGTGGATATTTCTACATACATGACTATAGGTGCAGCTCATATAGAGCACACAAGAGGAATAGTCAGGGAAACCTCTTGTTGTTGTTAGATGCCGTCGAGTTGGTTCCGACTCATAGCACCCTACAGGACAGAGTAGAACTGCCCCATAGGGTTTCCAAGGAGAAGCCGGTAGGTTTGAACCACTTACCTTTTGGTTAGCAGCTGAGCTCTTAACCACTATGCCAACAGGGTCCAAACACTTTGTGGGATGAACTTCCTGGGCTATAACACAAAGGACCATAGACTCAGGAGACATCTATGTCAACTGCCACAACATAGCACTTAAACACAATGTTCTGTATCCTCCTTTGGTTAATAGTACCTGAGGTCTTAAAAGCTTACGAGTGGCCATCTAAGATACAACTATTGGTCTCTTCCCATCCACAGCAAAGGAGAGTGAAGAAAACCAAGGACTCAAGGGGGCAATTAGTCCAAAGGACCAATGGACCACATGAACCACAGACTACATGACCCCGCGACCAGAAGTACTAGATGGTGCCTGACTACCATTACCAACTGCTCTGACTAGGATCACAACAGTGGGTCCTACACACAGCAGGAGAAAATTGTAGAATAAAAAATCAAATTCACAAAAAAGACCAAGCTTGCCGGTCTGACAGAGACTGGAGGAACCCCTGAGACTACAGCCCTAAGATAGCCTCTGTCTTGGAACGGAAGCCATTCCCAGAGATCACCTCCCAGCCAAACAACAGACAAGCCCATAAGACAGACAATAACACCTGAGAGGAAGGTATTCCT